GCCTGTTACACAGCGATACTGACCCACTGCACACTCCTCCCAGCCTGCTTCATACTTCTCAGAGGCAGCTCCTTTGAGAATGGATCCACTCACTGAACCATTTGTTATGACAGCACTTACTTCTTTTCCATATCAATGTAAACGAGGCTCCTTGCCACCAATCAGTGGTAAGCCTGGTAGGTTTGTAATGACTGAGTGTGTAGTGAAATGTCTCACAGTTAATGCCATTCTCTCTGACAGACCAACATGATTCCAGGCTCAAACTCCAGCAATGAATCTGATGGACGATTTCATCGATCCCGGAGACTGAAGTTGTCATTCCGGAGATGGACAGAACATGGTGAGAAAATGACAAGGAGATTCCTGATCTCACTGACACCCAACCACCGACCAACAACTCTCACCAGTCCAATTAGTTCACAGTTTTATTGAAATGCCAAGATAGGAACAACACAGAACAGCAGAGCACACAGTGACCAGGAGCAGGCACTGACACCACCAACACTCAGTCGCAGCAGTGTGTACTATCTACAAGCTGCACTGCAGCAATTCACCAAAGATCCTCACACAGCACCTTCCAAACCAGCACCACTTCCATCCAGAAGGACAAGGGCAGCAGATACATGGGAACGCCACCCCCTGCAACTTCACCTCCAAGCCACTCACCATCCTGAGTTGGAAATATATCACCATTCCTTCACTGTCACTGGGTTACAATCCTGGAATTCCCTCCCTAAAGGCATTGTGGGTAAACCTACAGCACATGGACTGCAGTAGGGTTGGATAAAATTGAATCTGTTGTTCCCGGGTGTTGGTTTTCCATTTTCTGAGCCTGTGTCCCAGTTGTTTTGGTAAATAATTGTCCATCTTTTTCTTACTCATTACATCGCCTTTCCCACTCCACATGCCAACCCATGGCTCCACCTGTTGCTTGCTGCAGCTTGGATGTTCTTTGATATCCATGCTCCTCATTCATTGACTAGACCATAACACAATGGAATGTAGGAACAGGACAGTCTGTTTGACATTGCTCTGCCACTAAGTCAGGTCATGGCTGATCTGGTCTTCCTCAGGTCCACTTCCCTGTCTTTTACCCATAACCCCTTGATTCCTTTTCTAAGGACAGACTGTGTGTAGGTTGTGTATTTCATTGTAAGAATTTGTTGCTCCCGGTTGTACATCCAAGAAACCCCTGCCTGTCCCTAGCATTCTTGGATTCTGAATATTGTGAGGATCTCTCATTATCTATTGTTCCCAAATAAAGATCCGGCAAACATTACAGTGGTCTTGCCATACT